GGGGTAGGTGCAGGAGTTGGTGCGGGGGTAGGTGCAGGAGTTGGTGCGGGGGTAGGTGCAGGAGTTGGTGCGGGGGTAGGTGCAGGAGTTGGTGCAGGAGTAGGTGCAGGAGTTGGTGCAGGAGTAGGTGCAGGAGTAGGTGCAGGAGTTGGTGCTGGAGTAGGGGCTGGGGTTGGTGCAGGAGTAGGGGCTGGAGTTGGTGCAGGAGTTGGTGCGGGAGTTGGTGCAGGAGTAGGTGCAGGAGTAGGGGCTGGGGTAGGTGCAGGAGTAGGGGCTGGGGTAGGTGCAGGAGTTGGTGCGGGGGTAGGTGCAGGAGTTGGTGCGGGGGTAGGTGCAGGAGTTGGTGCGGGGGTAGGTGCAGGAGTTGGTGCAGGAGTAGGTGCAGGAGTTGGTGCAGGAGTAGGTGCAGGAGTAGGTGCAGGAGTTGGTGCTGGAGTAGGGGCTGGGGTTGGTGCAGGAGTAGGGGCTGGAGTTGGTGCAGGAGTAGGTGCGGGGGTAGGGGCTGGGGTACGTGCAGGCGTACGCGGTGGTGTTGGTGCAGGGGTTGGCGCAGGGGTGCGTGGTGGGGTCGATGCAGGGTTTCGAGGTGGAGTAGGTGCAGGTGTTCTAGGTGGAGTGGGGGTGGTGGTTGGTCGTTGGGGAGTAGCTACGTGAGCTGAAGCTAGGACCAGCAGTCCTAGTAGAGTTTTGCTCATGGACACCATGGTGCTTGTGGTGTAATTGGAGAATGAACTTTACTACACATCGCCACGACAAGATCCTACCGGTTTTGACAATATATATTCTGAACCTAAAGTTCCTCTCCGCAAAGATGGACTTAGTTAATGCAAGGGTCTAATGCCACTTGAAAGAGTTTCGGCACAGCTTGTTCAATATATCATAAGCGTTACTATGTTGTGGAAAGTCATGAACTGAAACGTTATATTTGCCACGTTGCGTGGTGGAAGTGGCTACCAATATGTACTGTATTGTCAAATCCGTACTTTCGAGTAGAATCGAATGTACTTGACAAATGTATTTGAGAATGTCATTGCCAATCAAAGTGCACTGACGAGAAAGATCAACTTAGCCCCACAGGTTGGCCCCGTGAAAATCTTCAAATGTGAATAAGCTTGCAGTAAAATATGACTCAAACTGGTTCTCGAATTTGCTGTCAAGTCCAAATTTCATTGAAAAGGACAACACCAGTAATGGTCAAGTTCAGATTTAGGTACAGTAGCTGCTATCTCATATGAATACTCCCAGAGTAACTTTAGGTCTTACCGGTACTTACTTGCGCCAGATCTGGTGCAATTGGCCTCAAACCAAGGTGTAGGGCGATATTTGTCAGGGCATAATGCAAAATGTGCTAACATTCAGACAATACTGCAGTAATAGTTCGAACGAATGATATTCGAAGATCAGATTATTGTTGTATTTTAGCCAATCCGATACAATTTATACGAAATAGGTTTGCTTCATTTGTCAAAATTCAATTGAATTTCATTGCCGGCTGTCCAATCAGGCTTCAGAATGAAGCTTCTTATGTAGCCTTTCTGGCAAAATATATTTTAGCCAATGGAATACCAGGAATGTTCTTGAAAAAGGATCTTATTGGTGGATCATAAACATAAGCAAGCCCTAATCAAAGCGTTGGTGATCCATGTCGGGAGTGCGGTCGCTCGAAGGTCTGTTGGCAGCCCCGCAAGATGTAAACGATGACGATATCATCCATGTCTTGACCGAATGTGCGAGGCAATCCTCAAACGTATCCTTCCGAGAACAAGTCGAAACCTCCACCATCGACGACAGCTCGTTCCTTCCGTTCCTGACCTCTCGCTGGCTTGCACTTCAACACCTCGATGGATCCAGTCCTTCGGTGTGTGTGTACATGTGTGCTCATAGAGGCTGTCAACCACAACGATCTCCTTGTATCCTAGACCATCGACCAAGGTGTCGCGGCCATCGACGACGACGACGACGACGGTCTCTCGTACTCTTACACCACCACAACGTCAGACTCTGCCGCCACCGACATACCCTCGCGCTCTGCATTCCTCGACGATTCCGATGCAGCATCAACGCATGTGAACGTCCTGCTCGCCATGTACCGCGTTCTGCGCAACATCTGCGCGTCTTCTCCCATCAACCAGACCAAGTTGAAGGCGGTCTTGCCGTTCGTACGTATGTGTAGACTCTTCTGATATTTGTCACTGACGTTCCCTTCCATTAGACCACGAACGTGCTCACAGGAATGATCGGGTATCTGGACTGTTCGCACGACGAGGAATTGCATGCTGTGATCGTGACCTGCATGCAAGTGATGCTGCAATTCGTTGCGAATATGACTGTCCATCACACAGCCAACCAGGACATTCTATGGCCAGCATTTCACCCCCATTTACTGGAGGTACTTACCGTTGCTATCCTTGGTTCATATTGTCATTGAAATTGCTCTAGAAAGTGCTCGTCGAGTGCCAAAAGTACCGCAAAGTACTCGCGTACGCCGCCGCGGTCGTGCTAAATTGTTTGCATCCGCCGCATGCTATTCGAACCACAGACTTGGTACCATTATATGTTGGTTGTCACGTCGAATCAAAACAGACGTTAACGGCATGACGGAGTAGGTGAAGTCGCGCCAAATCGTGATTCTGTTGCTCCAACGATGCTTATCCTTCCAAAGCCAAGACGAAAGTGACCCAGCGTTGGAATGGATCACCATGATCTTTCAAGTCCTTGTTAAGCGCCATTACACTGCCGATTTGTATCGAAACCTGAGCGCGTCCCTGCTTAGGTATAATATACATACAGTCGCCGTCTCGAACCGTTAACGTCCATTTTGTTTTTCGGGTGTAGTATGTGTGTCCATTTTCGAATGACGTTTGTATATATTGTCTATTTTTTGCCCCAAAATTTACGTTTGGTGCTGATTCTTTGCCAAATCTATCGATCGATTCGTTACTATGAATTTGTATGCAAAATCGAGTCCTGTGGTGCTTGGTATCACACTAATTGAAGTCACACACTAATTAAAAACGTTGATGATGGTTTCCTGCAATCTGATTGGCTCAATTCGTGTGTACATTTATTTGGTTGTGTCGATTCATTCTCCATGTCGCTCCAATTTAGAATAAACACATATATATATATATATATATTCGTATAATAGTTGGAATAAACACAAATACAATATTGTCGATTTGATACAAATTTGGGGAGGGGGAGCAATCGAATCGCGCCGACCAAACCGATCCACAATCGATCTGATTGGTTAAATTTCATTGAGAAGGTTTTGATTGGCTAATAATTTTGAGCTCATCTGAAGTAGCCAATCAAATCGATTTAAATTCCAACGAGAAACCACGCCACAACACGAAATTTTTCACTCGAAAGCACAATATATATTCGTATAATAGTTGGAACACGTCTATCTACCTAACATCTGTTTTTTATGATTTGTTGTTGTGTGTGTATATCGTTAACGTTCATTTTGAATTCCCGTGACGCCACCATATTGTATCGTTATAGCACCCTCTGGTCGAAATTAACACCCGAGCAAATGCTATTGCTACGCATGGTGGACCTCGTGGTGGCACCCGATGATAGCAGCAGTCCCGTCGATGGTGTCGAGTCTAGCAGGTCCAACGACGACTTGATTGCGTTTTTGTGCGCCGAATACACGGGCCTGCATGTCCCGAACGAGGCCCCGTCAAACAAAAACGACGTTAACGCAGCAGTATCCGCCGACCGCCAAGCCATGTGGAATGTGATGGAAACCGAATCGTCCAAGTTGATGCTGCGCATCCTCGGCACGTTGACGTCTTCTGCATGTGTTGAAGAACATTCCGAGAACGTTCTGACGTTTATCCCAGTATTAATCGCCCAACTCCAACGTTTATCCCCGACTCATGCGCGGGAAACCAATGCCGCCGCCGCCTTGTCAGGAGATGACGTTGTTCAAGATGAGACCTTTGGGTACAGATCAGCTGGAGTTCGAGTGCTGGGTAATATGGCCCATCGTAACCCTTCTGTGCAAGATGCATTGCGGGCATGTGGCGGTCTAGAAGTGCTACTCAACAGGTACACATATATATATATATATATATATTGTGCTTTCCGCCAAAATTTGGATTATTGTGGACTGATTCGTTCACAATCGATCGATTGGATGGAACAATGGACCAATCATTTCACACTAATAGAAGGCACACATAAATTCGATGGGGAATAGTTGAAGCGAGAGCATTTGATTGGCTACTTGATTAGTGTTTTCATTTTTGATTGGTCGATCGATTCGAATTGACAATATATATATATATATGGCATGACGGTTTGAAATATATATATATATATATATATATATTGTGACGGTGATATTTGTGCTAATAGTTGTAACATCGACCCGAACAACCCCATGATTCGCGAATGGGCGCTCGTGGCGCTGCGTCATGTGTGCGAAGGTATGCAAAAGTGGTGGACATATATATATACTTATGATTCTTGAAATATATATATATATATATTTGACAATATATATTTAGGAAACGAGCAAAATCAAGCGTATATTCGAGCGTTGGCGCCCCAGCAAGTAGTGTCCCGCGTGGATCTATCGAAAATGGGGGTGGAACCAGTGTTGGAGCACAACAAAGTAACGCTAAAGCCGTTGTAAATACAACTGTCGTGGTCCTGTCTAGTCTAAAAGTCGCCCAGGAAGGAAGCATAGTGTAACTATTCATGGCCGACAAACCCATATACGTGGCGAATAGCAGGTGCAAGACCAACATGTGCAGCAGGCTCTTCCAGGGTAGCACATAGTATCGCAACTCACTGGATCGATTCACAACGTCCAATACGTGGAACGAAAAGCATAGCTCCGCCAATCGATAGACCCAGCAGCCCCGGGGGTGCATGGTCTTGGCATCCCACACCACCACCCACAGCACACAAACCACGCGGCTGCACTCGAGATAGCGTCATCGCAGTACAGGTCCATCATCCATTGTCGACACGCCCAGCGAATCGGACGTACGCAAACCGTGAGCGGTCCCCCAAATGGACGCCGGCCACTTCGCATGTCCTGTCATATGGCAGCAGGCATCATTGCGTCGTGGGAGTATACGCCACGGACGCGCCGTCAGAAGGTGGAATTGATTCTGTTCGAATGTGAAGGGATATATCCGGATAGATGTCGAGCTGACATTTCGAAGTGTGAATCCGTATCCGGATAGGCTCTGCTAGAAGATCGCTTTTGGAAGATCGAATCCAGAGAAAAGACGCGCGCGAGGATGACGTCGGGGAAGCGGAAGAGAAGCGCCATTCTCCATCGACTGACGGTGGACACGGCCATGCCCAACTCCATACGGCCGCAGCATCATGCTGGTGCCGTGTCGGACGAAGCCCCCTTCCTCGCATCAACGTTTCGAGGCGATGGGGGCGGTTTGATGGACGTCGGGCCTTTCCGTGTCGGTACCGACGGGATAGGTTTCCTCGAGTTTGGAATGGTACTGTCCTTAATGGCAAACGATCGAAGCGGAGTCATGGCGTCCGAGGGATTCACCGCGTGTGATGTGCGCTTGGAACGAACGTTGTCCCCGGCGTTGTTCGACGATCAAAAGCAGCATGACGGTCAGCTCGTCGGATGCCACTTCAAGGATTGCTTGTTCGAGGTATCCTCGGGCATATCCATACATGGAATGTCGCATTCAACTGCACGTGTGTACTGTGCATAGGTGTTGCCAAAGATGAACTACGATGCCACACTTGCGTTCGAGAAAGCGCAACTGACCAAGAAAGATGGCCTTTCTGGGTTTTCAAACCCGTTGTCGGAAATGCGCTTCAAGAGCGAGTCCGAGAAGCGCCTGAACGCCACGGCGTACTCCCATTCTCATGGCAAACACGTCAACTACGGCCAGGTCGGATTGCCTCGTCGAACTCGTGAGTGAATGTGCTCATGTTTGCCGTATTGTGCAGGGCATCCAATTGCGCCATATTAAATCGGGCAAGTTTCTCTCCACAACACCATCTTCATACGACACGTCCGACTCCCTTGACGTAAGTACAACGCAACCTATGTATACTGGCCCAACGTGGGCCGATACCAGCCATGCCTACATTGGCTTTAGATGGTTCAATGTATGCATATATATGTGTGATCATTCGTTTCAAGCGCTAATTACCCCTTGTTTTTGGTTGGCTGACTCTCTTCATCATTCACTTAAAGTGATACGCCACCCCTTTCTTGAGGTTACTTTGCTCCAGCTGCATAGTATATGATTGTGATGCTGTAGATTTGCTTGACGTCGGGGTCATCTGCATCGCACTTTGTGCTCTTGCCGAGGTTCAAACTTCGACGAAAAGGAGAGCCGGTTCAGATCCAAGACCAGATTATGTTGGCCACCGACGACACACGGTTGTTCGTGCAGACATCGTTGAACCGATTTGACCAGACCGCGCTGTCATCCCGCCTCTTGACAGCGTCCGTGGCGCATACTTCCATGATACAATGGCGACTGCTGCCGTATGACTCGAGCGACGCAGTGCAGTCGACAGCGGAAACGTATCGTCACAAGGCGGGCCACGGGGGCTTCCACGCCGGCCAATGCCTTCGACTTTGCCATTTGGAAACCGGCTCGTGGCTCGCATATGACTCGGCATCCAGCTCCCTTCGACTCGACGGGTGTGGCGCTACCGACCACACCAGCTCTGCGATGGGCGTGGTAAGTTGGCATTCATACTGCTATTGCTAGTATGGCGTCGAGAGGAGCAATTGAGATTCTCGAGTAGCTGTCGCCCGACACTTTATGGGAGGTCGAATGCAGTCGTGTGTTTGAAGGAGGGGGAATTCACTGGACCAAACGCGTGTGCATCCGCCATGTCACCACGGGGAAATACTTGGCCTTGAACGACAACACCACGACCAACATGATGGCGGTGGCCCAGCGCACACCGCAAATGTTTACGTTTCGACCCATGACCCACGTAAATATTCGGTACACACAAACATATACTAGTATATATATATATATATTCATGTATTCATGTAAAGAAACAAGTGACTATTGTTCGGTTGAATGCATGCCTCAAGTCGATGTTTCGGTGATTTAGTAGTACGTTTGCTGTGATTCTCGTATTGTTCAATGTGTTGGTTTGAACAGATGATTTGAATGATAATATATAGAATTCAAATGTTCATGTGTAAAGAGATATGGGAATGACCATGTCCATGCATGAGCGGTCTTTCGGAGTTGGGTTGTTGTTCACTATGGATAGTGTTCATACCTAACATGTTATCCGTCACTAGATCGGTGGTGGCCCATGACAGCGTCGTGCAAATCCAACATGTCGACAGCGCTGCATTCTTGCATGCTGCTGCAAATACCCCCAACATACTGCAACTGTCATCGGAAGGTTCGGCGGCCTCATCGATGCTGTCCTGTCCTGTGGAAGGCATATCATGTCCCAACGACGAAGACGCGTTCAAGTTGGTGTCCGTGCCCCAAGTTGAAGTGCACGATGTCATGTTGCTGACTTCGTACCGCCGCATGTTGAAGCGATTCGTTCAGTTCTTCGACGCCACAACATCCCCGATCGTTCAAGTGTGTACTTCGACCGAAACGTTCCTCTTGGATGTATTGGCGGCCGTGGACGCGATGAAGTCGTTTGCATTCCAAGATACGACCCAAGACCCCCGGCGGCAGTCGTTGCTCCGCAAACACCAGTACATGGAACTGGTCACGCGGATGCTGGAAGCGCCGTTCGATCCGTGGGGCGGGCCATTCACCATGGCATATGTGAGCTTGTTCCGACCCGACTCTAGACCTGCGTACGATCCGATGCAGAGCAACATCTCAATGACGCTGGTCGAATTGGACGACGGGAGCGACGAAGCCAGTCACGACTCGATATCGACTCCACCGCCGGGTCGGTTTTGCCTCAGCGAGACTTGCATGACGACCATTTTCCAAATCGTTCGCGCCTCCAACATGCTGCTCTTCCGCATGTTTTCGTCGTGCAAACCGTCGGACGCATTGAGTTGCGGGCGGGCGCTGTCGGTGCTCATGAAAATGCTAGGCCACGGGTTCAAAGCGTCGTTCCCGCTGTCGTATTTGATCCAGGAAAAGTTCCACTTGTCGGGGGAATTCAAGTCGTTTTCGAAAATCATCCGAGACTTTCTCGACTTGATCCAACGCCAAGGCAAGTCGTACCGATACGTGCAGTTCCTAGTCGTGTTGTGCACAGCAAACGGCTTGGCGGTGCCCAAGGTCCAGGAAAAGATCTGCGACTTAATCTTTGTTCCGTCGGAAGGGTACAAGGACGCTATTTTGATCCAAACCCGACCCACGCACACCAACACGTTTGAAGTGTGTTTGCCTACGCGACGCGGCAACGAGTGGAAGCCGTTGAAGGACTTTTACGACGAGTATTACAAGTCCAATCTGCACACGACGCTGGCGCCGTACTTTTACGGACTCTTGCAGCTGTACGTGGCGTTGTGCATGGACCGCAACTACAAGTGCATTGAGATCCTCAAGGACAAGTTTCCGCGAAAGTGCCTCTTGGCGTGTGTGCAAGACGTCAAGCTGGCAAGGTCGATCCGTGCGGTGCTCATGAACTTGCTCCTGGTGATCCACATCGACTGCGACCCGCAAACCCCCGTCGCCAGTCCCAACTACACGCGGATTTGGAAAGACACGGCGATGACGATGATTCAAATTCCACAGGTGGACACGACCAAGTACGCGCTAGAAGATCGCGAGTTCTTTCGCCAAGTGAAGGACCTTCTCATGGACTACATTGCAAGGCGCAAAGGCGTGATTGTGGTTGGGGTCGGCGAACTCGCGCGCAACGAATTGACGCTCGCCATGCTTCGGACGTGTCAAAAGCTGGTCGAGTTTGGCATGTTCCACAGCGACTTGCAGGAACTCGTGGGGCACCTTGTGGACCTGCTAGACTGCCGCACCGACACGATCTTGCTGAAACACCAGGACGACGATGGAACGAGTCAGCCGGTCGAGTACGCAGTGCCGTTGTTTGAAAACAGCGTCCAGCGGACCAAGAATCCGTTTTCGAGGCAGTACAGCGACGCATACCCACCCCTCCCGTACAGACCCATGAAGCGATTGTCGTACATGGGAACCAAACCTCGAGGTGCCCACCAACCTTGTCAAACGACCGTGTCCCGATTCAAAGCGAGCGAAGGCAACACGATTGTGATGGAGATCAAGGACTGCATTTGCGCCACGTTGCTTCGCGTGGATGCGCTGCGGTTGGATTACCAGCTGTCGCTCGTGCTGTCATATGTGAAAGAGCGCAATCGACTCGGCAGTGGTAGCATGGTCGCAAGTGACTTGTCGCCATTGGCCCAAGCGCTGGCCCAGCGCACGTTTCACTTGACGTGTGAGTACTCGCTCCAGACCCTTGCCAACCATCGGCGCCTCGATACGATTCTGCTGCAGACGCTCATGTACGAGCACCCGTTACTCGTGTCCAAGGCGCTCGAGTTGCTGTACCGCCAGTTCAACCAGCACGAGCAACTCATCAAAGCGCTCGACCACGTGTTTCTGCTTGTAAATGACAACACCGTGCACGTATACGCCAAGCTCCAAGCCGACGTGAATCAGTTGCGCCACTTGGCCGAGACCACTGAAGTGTGGATGGACCTGACGTCCTCTGGGGACTTTGACGCTGCCGCGCGGGCATGCGTGTTGCTCAAGTCGCTCAACGGCCTCATGCAAAGCACGGACGACATGACCAGACTGATCTCGAATTTGGACGTTCTAACGTATGTCATGGCCATGATTTACTCTGGCAGCCACTACTTTCACGAGTTGTTTCCTTCCAAATCGACGGTGTCTCCGACCAGTCCACAAAAGGCAGCGGCGACCTCGTCATTGGTACACGACGTGCTTCAAGACCAGCAACGCGGCGCCATTCGAAACGTGTACGACGGTTGTATGGAGTTTCTGCTCGCGTATTGTACCACTAACGTGCAAGCTGTGGCCGAGTTTGCCATGACGTTGGTCGAGTTTGTCGAAGCATTGCCGTCGGCCCAACACGTGTTGCTCGCGATCTACAGCAACGACTTGTGCGATGCGATCCCGCACGATGTGCTGGTGCAGTTTGTCCGGTGGAGTGTGTATTACAAGCACCGGTCAAATGACGCGCGGTATCTGACATTTTTAAAAGACGTGGCTGTCTCGTCAACGTCGACCCAGCAAGCCCTTTTGATGCAGTGTATGAAGAACCCCATGTTGGTCGACACACAAGACGTATCAGATCAAACATATGCAGCCGAGATTTTTCACCTGCTGACAACCGTGGCCACGACGACCCAAGCGCGGGATATTTGTGCGGAATCGATTGTGACCGTGAATGGATGGGTTGACTTGTTTGATCAATTCCAGCCCACAGACTTCAGCAATCATCCGACGGAAACGTCGGATTCATTTGGCGTAGCCGCGATGAAATACCTCCAACTCGTGCTACTCCCGCATGAAGATTGTATCTACAAGATGGACGATACGCTGCACGTGCGGTTGTTTGACTGTGTGCGCAAGTTTTCACTATTCGGTACGAGTACATATTTATATTATGCAAGGAGGATGCAGTATGATTATTATCATGCTAACGCCGGCGAGTAGCGATCCGGTGTTATCTGACTGGCCTGATGCAACTGGATTTACGCGAAGACAAAGCAAGGCAGCAACCAGTATCAAGAGACGATCCAGTGATTACTCAGGCCTTGATCCCGACGCTGCTCGCGTACTTTCCTAAACTAAACCCAGCGCTGCTAGTCAGTGCTCATTTGGACATGGATGAGTGGATGGCGGCGTGGTTTGCTTACGTGTTTTGTTCCGTGAGTCACACGACGGTGGCCGATGCATCGGCTGGAGGATCGCTGCATCTGTGCATGCGATGGCTCGATCAGTTGTGGAAGTCTGATTTGGAAGCGCTGTTGGTGGAGTCGTGTCAACGGAGTAGTCGGCCGTTCCTTGGCATCGGACTGGGGGGTATGCGGACCAGTGAGCCGTTTCTTGTCGACTTTGCCAAGCCGTTTGGGGACATTTTGAGTGACCTGAAAGCGTATCGAGCGTATTGCCAAGCCAAGACAACCGACCATCATCCTTCCGCGTCGCTTGTATCATCCCTTCCGCCCCTGGCTGCAATTGAAACGCCCATCAAGCCGTTGGAAACTGGCCACGACATGATCCCCGCCTTGCAGACGGTGCCCAAGCAGCACAAGTGGCTTTTTGGACTTTGGGGTCGATCTAACAACAACCATAAATCCGCAGTGTTGCCGTCAGATCCAAGTCCGAGTGCGGCCGCGCGGAAACTACCGTCGCCTCGGCATTACAACATGCCCAACTTTGGCGCGTATGCAGAAGACGACAGCTCGATCGTGCAAGATTACTTGAAGTACATTCGCGACCATCGCCTCACCAAGAATGCCATCCGGAACGAGTTGAGTGCCATGATGCAGAGCATTCTATGCCTCGAAGTACTAGGCCAAACACCATGCTTATGTGTCGTGATGTTCACATAAGCGTGTAGGACGCGTTGAAAGAAGAGAACGTGACCAACAGCGGGGTACCCGCCGTGATATCTACCTTTGACGACGTGGCCGCAAAGTTGGTATCCCATTTCAAGGTCCAACCCGTTCGATAATATGTGTATTCCTTGTAACTAAAGTATTTACTGTGGTTGTTGGGGCAATAGATGTTAAAGCAGCCCAAGTACGTCAACATGCGGTTGGTGCTGCTGGATGTGTTTACCCGCACGATCTTGTCGCTGGAAACCGAATCGAAACGCCGCCGAATGCAGTTGAAGCTGGACCAGTTGGGTTTGACGGATGTGATTGTGGACCTGATCTCCCACTCAGACGACTTTACCGTGTTCGACAAATGTGTGTGGCTCGGTATTGCCATGCTGGACGGCATGAACGCCCGTGTGCAGGAAAAGTTTCACGTGCTCATCACGCAACAACACGAGCACAGTGCCGAGTTCTTGGGCAAGTTCAAGCTCCATTTGGACATGCTCTTTGCGCACCCCCACACGGATCATAGTAACCACGTGGAGACGAAATCGGGTCTGCTTCTGAGCCAAATCATGTACTTTTCACCCAAAACCCGCAGCGACTTGTCCGAGCCCACGTCAAAGTACCAATCCGCCAGTCGGCAATTCCGATTTCTCCAGTTGCTCTGCGAAGGCCACTACCTGCGCAACCAAATGTGCATGCTAGGCCAAGGAAATAATGCGTCGTCGTCTGTGAATGTGGTCGAGATGGCGACGTTGGTCGTGGTCGAGTTTCATTCGAATGTGTCGTGGGATGCCATGGCGTTACTCCGCCAAGTGATGGACACAATCACAGAGTTCTGTCAGGTACTAGAACATATATATATATATATTGATGGTGGGTATTAGGGCCCATGCCCCGAAGCGCAGATGTGCGTGGCGAATTACAAGTTTATTTCAGCGGTGAACGAGCTCTTGTGGCGGGATTCCACGACGTTGACGATTACGGCGGTGGAATTATTGCGACAACTCAAAGCGTCGATAGTGATCACGTTGTTGAGCTTGTTGGAGCGACGAACGGACCACGAGATCCATCGACGGCTGGTCCAAGAACTCAATTTGGAAGCCGTCAAAGCCAACTTGATTGTCGTGCACGAGTACTTTCATCACAAGTACCACGTACGAACGATTGTATTCAACTATGAATCATACTATATATTTACATGTATATATTGAGGTTTCATGATTGTAGGGCAACTACGACGGGAACGAAGCGTGCAGCCGCGACGCGTTCCTGAGCATGGGGTTCAACCTGCACATTCTCATGCAACAGTTGATGGAGTTCCAGCCGTCGCTCATCTCGTCACTGTATCCCATGGATGACGTGGCGTATCGACACGCGTACGATTTCTTTGACGACCGGTGTGCGCGGGTGGAAATCGTGTGGCCTCAAACCAACATCGACCACCATCATCATGCTAGTACTACTAGTAACAACCACGGGGACTTGATCTCCATGTACTTTCCCCTGCACCCGATTTGCGTGTGCTTGACCGATCGCACCAAGCGGCGGCTGCAGTCCGACGTGAGCCGAGACGCCAACAAGCTCAACGACTTTTACGACAAGACCCACGACGTGATCGTCGAGATGCAGCACCAATGCACGCTCAGACAGTATGTGTGGATGGCGTTTCTCACGCGGCACCTGTCTCGGCTGAAAATGGCCGCGTTCGCGTGGAGTTTGGTGTTGAATGCGTTGATTGTATTGTACAACCATATCGACCGCCAACAAGTCGAGTCACCTCCGTGGATTGTACAATCGGCCGGGTACGTCCACGTGGCGCTTTGTCTTGCGATGGTCACGGGCCACTGCATCAACGACGTGCCGCTTCTATTTCAACAACAAGCTACTACCCTGTCTAGGACACATGTCGTATCCGCGTACAAACAGAGCAACCTGTCGGCAGACAACAGCAGCACGTTGCGGTTCGATTCTACAGTCAACGAAACCTTCCAAGATGTTGAGGACAAGGTACGGGCAATCGGAGACCCCCGGATGACGCGGCAGCATCACCTCCACCGACCTCGTCCGTGGGCACGGGTTGTGTGGTTTGTGCTGTGGGTGGTCGTGTGGGATGCCAAGACCATGTACCATCTGGGCCTGCTGGGTCTGTCGATTGGCGGCGCCTTCTTCCATCAACCCCTGTGCTTTTCGTTCCACGTATTGGACATTGTAAATCGGTCCAGTGAGTTGCGATACGTGTCCAAAGCTATCGTGTACCCTGGTCGGAGTCTGCTGCACATTTTGATCTTGTATTTGCTCGCAGCGTACGTGTTTGGGTTTGTCGGCCTCGTATACTTTGCAAAGTACTTTGACAAGGACGATTACAACGGGTGCGATACGCTGTGGGTGTGCTTTCTCACGTCGCTGGACGAAGGACTCAAGAACAACGGCGGCATTGGCGGGTTTCTAGCCCCCAGCCATCGCGACACGGGCGACCCGTTAGCGTATCCCCGTCTAGCGTACGACCTATTGTACTACGTGGGGTTGATCATCATCCTGACCAACTTGGCGTTTGGACTGATCATCGACACGTTTGCCACGTTGCGAACGCAGCATAAGGAGAACCAGGACGACTTGAAGGACCGGTGCTTTATCTGCTCGATCGACTGCTTTACGTTCAACCGGATGACCAAAGGATTCGACCACCACACGCGACACGAGCACAACATTTGGCACTATATTTACCTGTTTGTGCATTTGCGAAAGAAGCACTTTACACACTACAACGGCGTGGAACTGTACCTGGCGACGCGGATGGCCAAGCGAGACGTGACCTTCTTTCCCAGCCATCGCGCCCTCGCCCTCGAAAAACTACACGATCGAAACAGACCCCTTGACGATACAGCTAGTAGTTGTTGTAGTAGTAGTACTAGTACTACTCGCATGCCCCACCGGGCCAGGCCACACGTGCCAGGGACGGCGTTCCAAGACGTGGTGGGTAATGGAGGAGGACATGCGAGTCGTCGCGGTAGTAGTATTACTACTAGTACCACGGGCACGGGTGGATCAGGTGACGTGGGTTCCCTTGGAGCAGCGCTGGCGTTGTCGCCACTGGATCCCCATCATGAAGACCGTTCGACCGCGGATCAACTGGCGGACCTCGTGCAGGACTTGTACGCCCAACAACAAGAGATGCTGGGGCTGCTACACACAGTCGTACTTACACAACAGCAGCATATCGAGGCCAGGACTCCAACCAATCAACAACCTCATGACCGTCACCGTGCGTCTCACCGCCGAGCGAAATCCACGTCACCATTCAAGACAGGACAAGAACGTTATGTGATGTAAGAAGAGGTATATATATGTCCCCCCACCAACTAAACGACTTGGAATATGTATTTACCAGACAAAACCTCGTGGTATTATACTGTAGTTAGCCACATGAACATAGATTGTATGTGCATTCTATTTCCTTCATAACGTTGTTACATACTAATAGTATACCACTAACGTTACGTGGACTTGAAATTCCTACCCAAGAAACTACCTACTTACAATTAGCTACTAGTATTACAAATGTCACGTGGTAGTCGTTCACAACAGACCATTGTTGGTACCATATTATTGACTACTATCAGCACGTTCTTGTGAATATAAAAAATAACTCTATTAATGCTGTTGGTCTGTCTCTATATATATAAGAATAAATACGCACAACCGATCGATCGTGGTCCACATCAAAAGTATCCGTCCTAGCATAGATAGTTTAGAATGTATATATAAGATAGTTTAGGTTATGTATATATATATATTACCTCGTCCAGGGAGTACATGGTGCCTTCGGTCGTGAGCTCACTTGTCCGCTCCCAGTCGCCATCTTCGTCGTCCACGAGTTCCTTCATGGGCATGTGGTGGCGCGGCACGACCGTCCGTTTCATCGTGAGCGTCGCCGCCATCTTGTCCTCCATCGCTCGGCGCACTTCATCCGACCCTGTCAGGTACGCGACCTTGGACGCCGTCCACCGAATCTACCAATCAAAACACGTCATCACCAACCATCATCCAATCATATCCTGCCACGTCATCGTCTCCAAACAATCAGACCAATCACAAAAGAGATCTCTTACGCTTGTGCACAATCTCGGGTTGACATATTCGGCCACTTGCAACGCCACGCTAAAGTGGCCCAGCGAACACGCCACATGCAGCGCACTCCATCCAATCTACAATCATTTATTAATATTATTTATTACGTATTTGATAAATAAGTTCTTCATTTATTATAACACGTACATTGGTTGGGAGGGTCACATTGGCATTCTTTGCGAGCAAAAACGTTGTGATAGCTTCATAGCCGCGTCCAGCCGCGACATACAAAGGCGATGCGCCGCCGTCCGTCTGAATGTCCACGTCAATATGCTCCACGAGTAGCCGCACGACTTCGAGATGCCCGCCCCACACTGCGCTGTGCAATGGACTCCATCCCGACTATATATATATATATATATATTTATGGTGAAAACGCGGATTTTTGACATATACTTGTGTTGGGACGTACATGAGACACTAGCTCGTAATTGATGCCGCTGGCCATCAAGAGGGCCACCACGCCCATGTGGCCATACTGCGCCGCCTTGTGCAACGCCGTTTGGCCATCCTAAAGTCGGGTTTGTTAGTATATACTACTACTAGTAGTAGTAATACTAGGTACTACTAGTACCAGTACTAGGACGTACCAACGTGCGGGTGTTGACGTCCATGAATTGGATCAAACATTTCACCACTTCGACATGTCCACTGGCTGCCGCTCGATGCAACGGCGTCGTCGTTGTAGGTTGCTGCAATAATAAATGAGCTTTTCAAATAGATGAAAACTAAGCAAATAGATGAAGAATAAGCAGTACGTACATGGCGGGTATTGAGGCAGATGGAGGCGCTGTGGTGGTTTAGCAAGTACTGGATCACAGTCAACTGACCGTTTCCAGCTGCCACGTACAGAGGTGTGGCCCCCGCCTGCAAATGTCCTCCATCATTTATAATGCATTTTAAATGAATGAGAAATCATACGTTGGTCGGAATGTTGATCTGGTCAGGGCCCATGCTTGCACACAGCACTTGAACCACGTCCACGCGGCCATTATAACACGCAGAATGCAATGGTGTCCATCCAATCTAGTGATACATCGAGGATATAGATGAAATCATCTATCATTTATTAAATCTAAATAAATGAATGTACCTTGGACGCGAGCAGCGGGTTGGCTTGGCGGTCGAGCAGGTATTTTAAAATAGCCAATTGACCCGTGCCAGCTGCCACATACAACGCCGTAGCCCCGCCATCCTATACAAACAAACGTCGTGTATCCATTTAAAATGTATTTCAAATGTATTTCAAACACATACCTTGGTGCGCACGTTGATGTCTACAAACGGCACCAGCACTTGAACGACGTCCAGATGGCCATTCGCACACGCATCGTGCAATGCTGTCCATCCATTCTACGAGACATCGTGAAATAAAAGACGTCTCGAACGTGTTTCAAACGCGTCTGGAACGTACGTTCGAAACGGCCCCCACCGCCGCGTTGTGGTCCAGCAACACACGCACAACTTCCACTTTGCCATGTTGCGCGGCTTGGTATAACGGAGTTTGGCCGTTCTAGTGCCACATATGAATACAGAATAAAAAACGTGTACCAGACGTTTCGTACATTGTTTTTTAAATCCACCGCCGCATGGTGCAGCAAGAGGTACCGGACCACGTCCACATGGCCGTTGGCGCTGGCGTCGTGCAGCGCACTGCACCCGTTCTAAATCATTTAAAATGCATTTAAAACACGTTTAAAACCGAATCAGACGTTTCAAACCTTGTCCATTGCATCCAATGCTGGTCGTTTCAATGCAAAGTACTGCACCACGTTGAGCTTGCCATACGTAGCCGCCAAATGCAATGCCGTCGAGCCATGCTATTTATTAATATTATATATATTTCCATATCTTTCGATAAACAGTAATAATAGATCGATCGTACATTCGTCTGAAGGTCCATAGGAAGCACTGTGACAAGGTAGCGCACCACGTCCACAAACCCCTTGGAACTGGCAATGTGCAACGGCGTCCATCCACTCTATAGACGAGAATAAATATATTAATATATATATATCATTGCATTTCGAAGATATTACATACCGTTGGCCCAAGCGTCACCACCGCGGCCAGATTGGTCACCAATAACTGCACCACACCCAAATGTCCATTGCCCGCGGCCACATATAACGGCGTCGCGCCATCCTAATATATATATATATATATAAACTGGAAATATATATATATATTAATATATCTATCGTTACCTTGGTTTGAACGTTCACGTCGATATAACGACTTAGCAACGCCACAAGATCCACGTGGCCGTTTGCACAGGCGACGTGCATTGCTGTCCAACCATTCTATGATCACAGTTGATTTAAAATATATTTAAAATGTATTTAAAATGTATTGAAAAAGTTACCTCGTTTTGATCATGGATACTGGCCGTGTGCACCAACTTTCGAACTAAACACACGCGTCCCAGCCGCACAGCATCGAACAATGTCTACACAAACATATATATTTATTTACGAATTCGTTGAAAACCACAAATATATATATATATGTGAAAAAGCGTACCAAGTGGGCGTCTTCTTTCGCTTGCAAAACGCTCACAACGTCATGTCGGCGGTGTTCGAGCGCCAAGTCGAGCGCAGTATTTCCCGCCTAGTTGAATAAGTCAAATATATATATATATATATATGCAACAAATGATATATATATATGCAACAAATGATATATATATTTGAATAGATTTGTATTACCAACGTCTTTTGAGCTGGATCGCAGATTTGCATGAGGAATCGCACGACTTCTACATGACCCCACCAGCTTGCCGTGTGTAGTGCATGCCATCCATTCTATTATATATTTATGAATATTACGATTCTGCGAAATATCACGAAAGGGGAAATATATTACCTTGTTCAATGCATGCACATTCGCTAGGCTTTGCACAAGGTACTTGATAACTTCCAAATGTCCCCTGGACGCTGCCATGTCCAATGGCGTTGAGCCCAGCTAATATAACAAAAACTTCAGTTTATATTTCATAGAAACGCATATTTCATAAATATATATATATCTTTACATACACACGCGGGGAGGTTGACGTTGCATTTGGCGGCGACTAAGATCTTCACAACTTTCAAATGTCCATGCCAGCACGCCACATGGAGAGGCCCCATTCCTCCCTACAAACGATCGAATGTGAACGAATTATATTGTTCTTGTACAGATTTTGATATATATATATATATATATATATATAGATCACAGTATCAACAAGTACCTCGTTTGTAATATCTGTCGAGGTTTTGACCAGCGATTTGTCCACGAGGAGCTGCACGACACCCGCTTTGCCGCCTTCGCTGGCCAAATACAACGGCGTGCGACCCCTCTAAAGATATTATCAGTGCCAAATATATATATATATTTCAAAGATCGCAAGATTTCAACATATATTTCGTACGTCGTCCTTGAGATCCACGTCGGCGTTGTTGATGGATAGGAGATACTTTGTGATTTCGACTTGGCCGTGGAAGCTCGACGCGTGCAGCGGTGTCCATCCCTCCTATGGAAACGAACATCCTTGTCAACCAAGTCGACGGGCGAAGAGCAGAAGCATGGAGGGAGGGAGACGTACCTCGTTCATGACATTGGGGTCGCATTTGGCAATGTACTTGCGAAGCTTGGCCTCCTTGCCTTTGGCAATGGCGGCAAACAGCTTCTTCTCCGCGCTCTACAGGACACCCCACGCAGCATGAGACGACGACTCGACGGCTCGTGTCCACCGTTGAGCCACCGCGACTGGGTAGATCAAGAGGGTGGTCACGACAACGACATGCGGCGACGATGATTTGTGCATGCGTACCTGCCAGAACATGATGGAATGAAGGACGTCCAGTCAAGATGCGACCAAGAAGTTCAGGGAGACACGACATCGGTCGAGTGCATGGTACGCTATTACACTCAGGTTGAGGTTTCCACCCATACTCGCACGTGATTGGTCGGAGATGTAGCGGCAGCATTTTGATTGGCCAAAAAGAAACCCGAGTCGCCGTTACAGATCCGACGTACCGTGTAGGGGAAATGTGTTGCCAGTGGCTTCTTGGACGCCAATTTGG